CCCCAAAACCCCAAAACCCCAAAACCCCAAAACCCCAAAACCCCAAAACCCCATGTGAGGGTTATAATATTGTAACTTTATAACAATAATATTAAAATGAAATATAAGTTGGCTATCTTTGTCGCTCTTTTAGCTCTTGTCTATACGAGAGATTACTGTAGAGTTTATTCTTGTGGCACAGTTGATGATTCAGATGATCTTGAGTACTGAGCACAGAGAGATAATAATGATTTCGGAAATTGGAATGTACAGCAATGTGTTGGAGAGAACATGTTTTGCAAAACATTTGCTTCTAAAGCTCCAGGTGCTCTCCAATATCCAGCTAGATGTGAAGAAATCAAACCTGAAGTCTATCAGAAGACATTTACTGCTTCTCTCGGAACTGGGGTTGATGGAGACTACTGTGAATCATATAAAGATTGTCATCGTTCATACTACAGTAAAGGAGTATGTCAAGACAATGTCTGCAAGGTTCCAACAAGGGAAGGATCTAAATGCAAGGTGAATATTGATTGTCCAATGGAGCACTTTTGTAACTCCAAAAGTAGATGAACGGAAGCTCGCAAGGCTGGGCAAAATTGCACTAAAGAGAGTAAGTCTTATCTTTTCATTTCTGACATGAATGAATTGTCTATTATTTTATCTCTACATCTGTCTGACAATTAAGATCAGATTAGGAAAAGCTAAAACTTTGCATGACAATATCTTACTTGAGAATGCCAGATTTCAATAATTTTTAAGACTATTTATACCAAATTGATAAATTATGCTAATCTTTTATATAGTTGAGTGTGAAACTGGCCATAGCTGCCTCAGACTAGTTGAGCACGATAAAGATGAAAATATTTGCATCCCTCATAATTATCTTGATGATGGAGTTCTTTTTGCATTTGCTGATACAGGATACTTCAGAGAGGAGAAAACTGATCTTCTTGAAGCAAAGCAACTAAAGCCAATATTCAGCCCTTACTGTGAATCAATAAATCATGTTCAGTTGGGAAAGAATTTATTCCAATGTAGGAAGGCTGATACAAATCTGAATTCTGATCTCTCACGTAAATCTAAAGGAAACAATTGTATCATTCAAACATACACAAATGAGGATCCTCAAAAATATGATGTTCTAATTAATAAAACTGAAAGATCTCTTTGTGGATTTAACAAGGATAACAGAGCTTGGTGTCCTCTAAAAGCAGGAGATAAAATGGCTCAATACTTCTACTTCAATTGGGTTGATAGAATGAATAGCTTCAAATGCAGCCGCTTCACTCAGAATGATCCTGAGTCAGGTAGCATTTGCCATGACTACTATGTTGCAATGCAGAACAAAGATGAAGATCTTTTCTCGTATTACAAATTCCAAGCAACTGTTGTGAATGAAGATAGCGCGCAGGTTTGGGCTAACACTGCTAACAATAACAAGTGCGTCGCTCAGTCATTGACTCTCGATTTCTGGAATGGGCACTATGCTACCTTTGAGGAATATACTTACTCAAAATAAGATTTCAGATAAGATTGTGAACTCAATTATCTCCAACTGCTTTGGGGTTTTGGGGTTTTGGGGTTTTGGGGTTTTGGGG